AAAATACAAAAAAAATTAGCTGGGTGTGGTGGCGGGTGCCTGTAATCCCAGCTACTCGGGAGGCTAAGGCAGAATTGCTTGAACCTGAGAGGCAGAGGTTGCAGTGAGCTGAGATCGCACCACTGCATTCCAGCCTGGGCAACAGTGCAAGACCCCGTCTCAACAACAACAAAAAACTTAAAACATTAACCAGATGTGGCTGTGTGCACCTGTAGTCCCAGGTACTCAGGAGGGCGAGACAGGAGGACTCCTGAGCCCTGGAGTTCAATGTTGCAGTGAGCCATGATTGCACCACTGCACTCTAGCCTGGGCAACAGATGGACACCCTGTCTTTAAAACATAAAATAAATAAAACCTGTAAGTGGGCCAAATTTGGCCCATAGGCCAAAGTTTTCTAATCCTTGATCTATATAGAAAATCTTAGAAATTTCTCAGATAAATTACCAGAATTAGTAAGAATTAACAAAGGTCATTAGATATAAATTATGGAAGAGAGTAGGGAGGTTCCTCAAAAACTTAAAAACAGAACTGCCATATAAATCCAACAATCCTTCTACTAGGTATATATCCAAAGGAAATTAAATTACTATGTCGAAAAGATATCTGCATTCCCATGTTCACTGCAGCACTATTCACAGTAGCCAAGATATGGAGTTAACCTAAACGTCCATCAATGAATGAATGGATTTAAAATGTTGTAATATACACAGCAAAATGCTATTCAGCCTTAAAAAAGAAGGAAAAATTGTCATTTGCAACAACATGAATGAGCCTGGAGGACATTATATTAAGCAAAATAAGCCAGGCTCAGAAAGACAAATATCACTTACATGTAGAATCTAAAAAAGTCAAAAACTCATAGAAGCAGATAGTAGAATGGTGGTTACCAGGGACTGGGACAGGTAGGTGGAGTACAGTGGAGGGAAATTTTGAAAATACAACATTTCAATTAGGAGGAATAAGTTCAAGAGATTTATATTGTACAATATCACGACCACTGTTAATGACAATTTACTGTTGTTATTATATATAATTGAAATTTGTTAAAAGTAGATTTTAAGTGTTATCATAAATGCTAAGTATGTGAGGAGATATATATATATATAAAAATTAGCTTGATTTAGCCATTCCACAATATATACATATTTCAAACATCATGTACACCATTAAAAAAATTTATCTTTTTAGGCCTGGCACGGTGGCTCACGCCTATAATTCCAGCATTTTGGGAGGCCAAGGCAGGTGCATCACTTGAGGTCAGGAGTTTGAGAGCAGCCTGGCCAACATGGTGAAACCCTGTCTGTACTAAAAATACAAAGATTAGCCGGGTGTGGTGCCGCACACCTGTAATCCCAGCTACTCGGGAGACTAAGGCAGGAGCATTGCTTGAACCTGGGAAGAGGAGGCTGCAGTGAACCGAGATTGTGCCACTGCACTCCAGCCTGGGCAACAGGCTGGAATACAGTGGCATAATCATAGTTTACTACCACCTTGACCTCCTGGGCTCAAGCCATCCTCCTACCTCAGCCTCTCAAGTACCTGGGACCCCAGGTGTGCAATACTCTGCCTGGCTACTTTTACATTTTTTCGTAGAGACAGCGTCTCATTATGTTGCCCATGCTGGTCTCTAACTCCTGGCTCGAGTGATCCTCCCACCTTGGCCTCCCAAAGTGCTGGGATTACAGGCATGAGCCACTGCACCTAGCCAACAAGGAAATTTCAAAATAAAGGGAATAAACTGCCTGGGCACGGTGGCTCATGCCTGTAATCCCAGCACTTTGGGAAGCCGAGGCAGGTGGATCACTTGAGGTCAGGAGTTTGAGATCAGCCTGGCCAACATGGTAAAACCCCGTCTTTACTAAAAATACAAAAATTAGCTGGGCGTGGTGGCAGGTGCTTGTAATCCCAGTTACTTGGGAGGCTGAGGTGGGAGAATCGCTTGAACCTGGGAGGTGGAGGTTGCAGTGAGCCAAGATCATGCCACTGCATTGGGCGACAGAGTGAGACTCTGTCTCAAAAAAAAAAAAAAAAAAAAGACATACATATATATATATATATATATGAAAATAGATATTGAAAAGTTACCCAGAATATAACATATGGAAATGAAAAGATAGAAAATATAAAGGAGCAAGTTATAAGAAAAGGAGAGTCAAACCTGAATGTTTCATACATATATTTGGAGCTCCAAAAGAATAGAGAAAATCAGCGATAGACAATATTGGAATAATGCCTGAGAAACTTTCAGAATATATGAATAATATGAATCTTAAGACTTGGAAAGTCAAACGAATCCCAATAAAGATAAATAAAAAAAGATCCAAATTTACATATACTGGTGAAATTGCAGTGTATGTAAATTTCATATGTAATTTAGACATATGCAAATATGTCTAAAGACAGAAGATTAACCAGAGGGGGAAAAAAGATAAATTACTCAAAGTAACAGTCAGACTAATAGCAGACTCACAAATTGTAACAATGGAAGATAGAACTCTGTGGAAAATTATCCTAAATATTCAGAAAGCAACGACGACCTAAAATTATATGCTCAGCTAAACCTTTATTCAATAAGATGAGTTGAGCTGGGCATAGTGGCTCTCAAGTGGGAGGATCACTTGAGACCAGGAATTCAAGACTAGCCTGGGCAACATGGCAAGACCCCATCTCTTCAGAAAATTTAAAAATGAGTCAGGAGTGGTGGTGCACACCTGTAGTTCCAGCTACGTGGAAGGCTGAAGTGGGAAGATCCCTTGAGCCTGGGAATTTGAGGTTATAGTGAGCTATGATTGTGCCACTGCACCCCAGCCTGGGCAACAGAGGAAGACCCAGTCTCTTAAAAAAGAGTGAAATAAAGATTTTCAGAACAGGCCGGGCATGGTGCTCACGCCTGTAATCCCAGCACTTTGGGAGGCCAAGGCGGTGGATCACCAGAGGTCAGTAGTTTGAGACCACCCTGGCTAACATGGTGAAACCCTGTCTCTACTAAAAATATGAAAAATTAGCTGGATGTGGTGGCAGGTGCCTGTAATCCCAGCTACTCGGGAGATTTATATTGTACAACATGACCACTGTTAGTGACAATTTACTGTTACTATATATAATTGAAATTTGTTAAAAGTAGATTTTAAGTGTTATCATCATAAATGCTAGGTATGTGAGAGAGATATATATATAAATTAGCTTGATTTAGCCATTCCACAATATATACATATTTCAAACATCATGTACACCATTAAAAAAATTTATCTTTTTTTAAAGGCTGAGGCAGGAGAATCGCTTAAACCCGGGAGGCGGAGGTTGCAGTGAGCCAAGATTGTGCCATTGCACTTCAGCCTGGGCAAAAAGAGTGAAACTCTGTCTCAAAAAAAAAAAATAAAAAATAAAAAAGATTTTCAGAACAATAAAAAAATGAGAGAATTTACCTCAACAAAGTCTAACTTTAAAAAATTCTGGCCGGGTGCAGTGGTTCATGCCTGTAATCCCAGGCATGGGTGTGGTGGCAAGTGCCTGTAATCCCAGCTACTTGGGAGGCTGAGGCAGGAGAATCACTTGAACCCAGCAGGCGGAGGTTGCAGTGAGCCGAGACAGTACCATTGCACTCCAGCCTGAGCAACAAGAGCAAAACTCCATCTCAAAAAAAAAAAAAAAAAAAAATTCTGAGGAATGCACTTCAGAAAGAAAGGATCAAAAAGGAATGTTGGAGATGAATGAAGGAATAATGAGCAAAAACATTATTAAGCATGTGTGTAAATCTAAAGATACATTGACTGTAAATTCTATTTTTTTAACAGCCGGAAGTTTTACAACTTTTTCTTCTGGTACTCATTTTCACTATATTTTCTCATAGAATTATATCCTGTTATATGCTCAGGCTGGTGTGCAGTGGCGCAATCATAGCTCACTGCACCCTCCACATTCCAGGCTCAAACCATCCTCCCACCTCAGTCTCCAGCTAATTTTTTATTTTTTGTAGAGACAGGGTCTTGCTATGTTGCCCAGGTTGGTCTTGAACTCCTGGGCTCCATCTGTCCTCCCGCCTCAGCCTCCCAAAGTGTTGGGATTACAGGCGTGAGTCACCACCCCCAGCCTACTGATCATTCTTATCGGTATCAAAAATATGCATGTAAACTGACATTAATTTTTAAAATTGTTTTCTGTGACCACAGGGCTATTAGTGTTACATTTCTTCTGGATTTAATGATCTTTACAATATTATTAGCCTACAATTGATTAAAACAACATATATTATTTTAAATAATAATTATTAACATAAAATAAAATTTATTGGAAAGACATCTCATTTTTGAAGTTTCCTTTTTTTTTTTTTTTTGAATAGAGATAGCGTCTATCTGTCTGTCACCCAGGCTGGAGTGCAGTGGTGTGATCATAGCTCACTGCAGCCTCAAACTCCTAGGCTCAAGTGATCCTCCCACCTCAGCCTCCTGAGTAGTTGGAACTGTGAGTGCACACCACCACACTCAGCTAATTTATTTTAATTTTTTTAATTTTTGTAGAGATGGGGTCACCATCTTGCCCAGGATGGTCTTGAACTCCTAGGCTCAAGCAATCCTCCTGCCTTGGCCTCCCAAAGTGCTGGGGTTACAGGCATGAGCCACCATGCCTGGCCTCAAATATTTTTTAATTGACACATTGTAACTGTACGCATTTATAGGGTACAATTTGATGTCTTGATACATATATGTTGTATAATGAGCAAATCAGTATTAGCATGCACCTATCATTCCTTTGCAGTAAGGACATGTAACAGTCACTCTTCTAGCTATTTTATAATATACTATATCTTACTACTAACCATCATCACCCTACTGTGAAATATAATACCCTAGAACTTATTCCTCCTAATTGTAACTTTGAGCCCACTGACCAAGCTCACGTCATCCTCCCTAAATTTTATTTTGAAGGGCAAAAATATGATTATTACTGAACCGTTATATTTATGATAACTCTAGATTTTGTTGGCTTGGTTTCTCCTGTAGGTATACAGAAGATGGGTGTCCACATAAGAAATTCTTTCACACACGTTTTCTTATGCGAATGAGGTTAACACCAGATTGTTCCAAAATGTTGATTTCAACGTCCTCTGGATATCTCTTAATTTTGCATGATCTTGACTTAACTAAGTCTTTAGAAGTAGGCAGCTATCCCATTTTAAGAGCAAGAAGAACTACTTCAAGTTCAGGTAAGCTTTCCTTTTTTAGTCAAAAAGATTTTTCTCAAGAATCTCAAACAGAGAGATAATATATGTTTCTTTTCTGAGAATGATAGCAGGAAAGGGGAAGACAAAAGGCATTCTTTAGAAAGCTCAGTGATGGGTTTTTATCCAAGCAAGTATAATGATTTGTATGTATCTCTGACATATCATTCATATGTACCTCTGAATCACAAATGGACTAGGAGGAATAACTGCCAACCCTAACGTATTTTCTTTTAGCTTTATGCTAGCCACAGGATCTTTTCATCAGTAATTTTAAATCATCACTATCTCAAAAATTAGTGATGGCACAAGGTCTTAAGTCCTTCTGGAATCAAGCAGAGCTTTTATTAAGTTATGGTCAATACAGAGTTTTAGTTTTAAGTCTATCTGTGTCCTAGACTTATAGATGTCCAGACACAGATAGTTGGTGCCATCTTATCTCATTACTCTCTAAACACTGTCTTGCTAAAACTCTGTCTCTTCTCCCATTGCTGATTTTGTTAGACTTAAGTGAATTTAGGGTTCAGAAAAACTTAAGTATTGTATTTTATCAACATTATGTGATTTAAAAAAGACTATATTTCATCTACCTTTGGGAAAGAGGTGAGTGGTTTACATTATGAACAAATTTATATAATTTACATTATAAACAAAATCCAGGGGAAAAAAGACTTAAGCATTTGGAACATAGAATGCTAATAAATTTCTATTAAAAGGCAGCTTCGAATGGTTGGGACCAGGTACAGGGGCTCACACCTGTAATCCCATGACTTTGGGAGGCCAAGGTGGGAGGATCGCTTGAGCCCAGGAGTTCAAGAGTAGCCTGGGCAACATAGGGAGACCTCATCTCTACAAATAACTGAAAAATTTAGCCAGGCGCAGTGGCTCACGCTTGTAATCCTAGCACTTTGGGAGACTGAGGTGGGCGGATCGCTTGAGCCTGGGAGTTTGTGACCAGCCTGCACAACATGGTGAAACTCTGTCTGTACGAAAAATACAAAAATTAGCCAGATATGCTAGCATGCATCTGTAGTCCCATCTACTGGGGAAGCTGGGGCAGGAGGATCACCTGAGCCTGGCAGGTTGAGGCAGCAGTGAGCCATGATTGCGCCCCACTGCACTCCAGCCTGGGCAACAGAGAGAGACCCTGTGTCCAAAAAAAAAAAAAAAAAAAAAAAAAAAAAAAAAAAAAAAAAAAAAAAAAAAGGTTGGAATCTTTCTCCATGTGCACAGGACCACTTCCGAAGATTCCTTTGGGAAAGTACAGACATCATTGTACTACAGTGCCTGGTGTAATTGCTAAAACTAGAAATTTAAGTTTTACCAACTTACTTGCAAACAAGGGATTTCATAAATATACGAGTATAATCCTTTTAGATTCAAATTTGCCTTTTAAGTTAAACATGATAAGCAACTCTAACTTAGTGAGAAATAGTGATTTTGAATGTCTAGTTGGCCTATTTCAACTCAAAAACCAACAAAGTTTTCAGTTTTCTAACGGTAATTCTGATAATAACATCACAGGATATTAGACTAGTAAGAATTCTTAACATAGGTGTGGGACCACTATCAAAATGTGATGCTGAAATAGACATTGCTATTTGGAGTAATATATCAGACTCCACTACCTGATACTCATTTTATTTTTTTCAATGTAAACTTTGTGTCACATTTCAGAGTATTCACATAAACTTGGCACAGTAGTGCATACCTGTAGGCCCAGCTACTCAGGATGCTGAGCCTGAGGTGGCAGGATCACCTGAACCCAGGAATTAGGAGTCCAGCCTGGGCAACATAGCAAGATCCTTGCCTCAAAAAAAAAAAAAAAAAAGACTATTCACGTAATTTCAATAATGATAATGGAAGTTTTTGGTATACTTTAAAGAAGAATCTCTTCATGTTTCTGGTAATGGGCCTGATGTTTGGACCCTATTTTAACATAAAAACAATAGGCTTAAGAGCTTAGTTTTCATTTTCATTGAATTTTTAGGTTTCATTTTAGTACAGAAATGATGAGGATCCAAAGATGCTCCTATGATTATTTTGTTTTTCATTTTTATTTCACATAGTCAAGTCTTTGATATAAAAGATTCAGAAAGGGACTAGATCTTAGAACACTTCAAAGAGCTGTCTTGCCTTCCTCAGTCTTATAGGCCAGTTATATATGACCATTTTTTTTAAATGTTAAAACTATGGTTTGAGCAGAATAATTAAAAAGTGAAAAGCCACTACCAGAGTTATGCTAGGTTTATTGTCAGAATTTTTTATATTTTTAAGATTTGACCACTTCATCAAGTTCATCTGGTCCTAGAGTTTCTGGCTCACCTTGTCATCATAGTGATTCTAATTCTTCTGAGAAACACATGTCACGAGCCTCTCAAAGAGAAGGTAGGTTAAAAGTTGGATTTTATAATCTTGTAACAACAGATTCTGCCAATCTGATTAATTATTGATTGATTAAAATCAACTTTATGGTTTTGATCCATAAAAATAAAAGCAATGGAGATGAGGTGATTTATCCCTCAGTCATCATCTTCAAAAAGCTAACCGAGAGTCTCTGGGGTTGAATATCTTGAGTTAAATCTTAATGGAATATGAGTTTTGGTTTTATTAGCTGGACTTAGTTTGGTCTAGTTTGGAGAGCAAGTAGTTCAGAAATGTAGATTTCAATCAAGATTGTTGTGAAAATTAAATGAGATTATGCATGTGAAAGTTCTGTATAAATATAAGGCATGAATTTTCAGGTAATTGTGAAAGTCACCTGGCTACCCTCAGAATTTTTGCTCTGCCATTTCTTTGTCTGTGCAATGCCTGACAGCTTCAAAGGGTTTGTAGGATAAAGATACCATCTGGCTCCACTCTGTATTTCCCAGTTTTTTCCTAGCCATTCTGGCAGAACTAGGTGCTGTGCCCTATACCTTCCACCCCCCAATTGAAATGGTTTCTACCTATACAAATTCCACATACTATTCCTCTTCATACTAATCCACATCTAAGCTCTTACATTATTTATTGTTTGTTCTTCTCTTTGTGAACTGAGTATTAAGAGCCAGATATGGCTTTTTTTTGTTTTTTGTCATTTTGAGTCACTTTTGGAAATAGAGATTTCTCTACCTTGATATTTTGGGCAGAGACTGAATCTCAGACTTCTAATTTGTGTTTTCACTGGGTAGCTTTGCCTGGAAGATGCTGGTTATCTTGCATGGCTACTTATGTCAGTAGAACGGTTTAAGAGCTCTTTCTAACCTAACCTATGGCCTATCCACTTGCCTCTGGATATTGAAGTCTGTGATATTTCACTTTAAGGTTAAAGGCTCCTCATCTTAAATGTAAAGATTTATGCCCAGAAGTATAACATTTTTCCTTTGATTTGTAACACAAACATCTTTTGCAGATTCTTCCTGTTCTCCTTCTCCTTGTGCTATGGGAAACAAGTCAAGGCTTCTATTAATCATTGAGAAAAATCTTTATTGATTGACTACACCATCCACAAGAAAAAGAAACTTAATTTAAGAAGAAAAGAATAGTTAACATGCTTGCTTGTTATTGACCAGTGGTAAACACACAAACACAAATATACAGCAGTTCTATGCCACAGAGAGTTGAGGGAAGAGATGATATATGAGAAGGCTGGAAAGAAGAGGAAAATGAGAGGGTGGAAAGAGAGGGAAAACATGGGAGAAGGTGGGGCTTATAGGTGAAGTTGCTCTAAATGTTGGAAATCCTGCATCTTCAGATGTCAGAGTATGTTAACACCATCCTTTGGCAGATATAATAGCTGTATAGAGCAGAGGCTTTCAAATACATTTCAGCATTAGAACTCTTTGACATGAAATCTGCTGTGGATTCTTAGAGATGTAGCACAAATAAAATCAAAGTAGCTCTGGTTCAAGAAAAATTAGGGAGGCTCTTGACCCTCCAGTCTTCCTCACCCCATCTCCACCTTAGCTCACACGTGGTTTCCCACTTTTGCCAGCTCCTGAGGAACCCCAAGGGGCACAGTTAGCAAACCACCTACTTAGAATGCATTTTTTGTCTGCTTTTATTATAGGTTTTCCAAATTAATTCTTAAGCGTTTTTCTCTAAAATTGTTAAAGTTCAATCACATGTGAAATAGTCATTTCAGTAGAGTTTTGTTATAGCAGTGTAACTGAGAGCTTCACAGGTTTCTGTTAATGATGTAGTAATCTAAAGGGAATCTTTAAAAAGAAGTTAACACATCTGCTTGACAAGCAGTTCACAAAGGATCTGACAGAGGGAGCTCATTACCTTCAAAGTAACTCCTTCTGCAGTCAGAGAAGTGTTGAAATATTTCTCTTGCTATTAAGTTTCTAAGTTGCTTCCTTACAGTGTCTATGAAAGTGGTTTTTCATGCACCTGAAGGATATAACACACTCCCATTAGTAACAGTGCCTTACTCCAACAGTCATTTTCACTGGGAGTTAGGCAGAAGGAAATGATGAGGCATAGTAGAATCACCAGGAAGATGTACGATTGGCAATGTCTCCCATCCCTTGTTTTGACATGCCTTTATGTGAGGTGTCCTTCCTCACCTCCAAAATTTGTTTTGTTTATAGTGTTGTTGTTGCGGGGGCATAAGTCCTGATCTTTTTATTTGCTTAAAGGCAATTCTCGTGGCTTCCAGGTATTTCCTTTTCTGGACCAGAAAGCACCAGGTCCAATAAGATGAGAATTGTTACCTTTTATCTTTCTAGAGTCCTTTCATGTCACATAACTTTGGTTCTTACTTAAATAAAGAGCTTTCTGAGATGTAAGAACCCCTAGTCAGCTTCTATGCCTTAGCCTTAAGTCGGCAATGATTACCGCTGTGGGAACTTGGATTCTTTCGTTCTATTTATACCATTTCCCCACACCTTCACCCTGCCAAAACTCACACACCATACACTGGGGAGTACCATGCCCTTTAACATATGGTAGCATAAGGGGCAGACTAAGGAATGATGACATGGGAGGTGGCTGCCAGAAATAAAAGCTTTGATGAACTGCCTTAGTTTTTTGATAATACAAATTCCACATCCTCCTTTTCTTGTATCTCAGGAGTTTCACCACGAAACAGTCTTGAAGTCGTAACCCCTGAAGTTCTTGGTGAGAGTGACCACGGAAACTGCATCACATCCTTACAGCTGCACCCAAAAGGCTGGGCCACTCTTCTTCGGTGCTCAAGCAACAGTGATGATGAGGAGGTACAGGCAGCAGCACTCCACCTTCAACAGGGCTCATTGGACAAATTGCCATTGCCGTGTGTGCAGACCTTAGGCCGATCACTGACTGCAGTCTCTGCCTTCAAGGGCATACTGCTAGAGATCCTGCTTCTCGACTCTCCTGTTTCTGTCCTCTCTTGCTTCATATGGTATCATTATCCCTTCCAAACTCTTCTTATTCCTCTCCTGCTGGAGTTGAACAAGGTGGGACGTACTTTAAAGGCCAGCATCAGCTCAGATTTTGCCCAGCTTCTTAAATCTTGCCTCCTTCATCTCACCCCCCCGCAAAAAAAAAACAAAAACAAAAACAAAAACCCTTGTATAATAAACATAGGTCTGAAATGTTTCAGCTAAGTTGGCTAAATGTGAGATTTTACTAAGCCAATTGAGTATCATAATTTTCTTTTTTTAAAAACCAGGGGAAACTCTGGGAAAGGAAGGGACTATACTGATGACTAGGGGGAAAGGTGTTAAATGACTTTATGATTCTCATCACTCTGGAAAGCAAGAGTCTTCCAAGGATCTCACTGGTCCTAGAGGCCACAACTGAAAGGAGAGAAGAGAAGAGCCTTTGAATTGTGTAGGGGAAGAGGTAAGATACTCTAGGGCTTGGATGTACTCCAGGAATTTTAAAAATATCAACATTGTTGTTGCCCTTAGAAAAGAAAATGTATTACTGCAGAAGTCACAGGCAGCCTCAGGGAACAAAAGGCTTTAAAGCATCATAACACAGAATAACCTTAGCTTATGAAGATAAGAAAGTAGGGGGCCTACAAGTTTTGTTAGTTGGGAGGGGGATAGCATTATTCTGAGTGATTTCTTGTAACAATTCTGTGGCTTTGGCAATCTGTTGAGCTTTTTAAAAATAAGGAATATCTGTAGAACTATTTGGGCTCTGTAACCTTGGTTTGTCTCCCTTCTCTCCCCCTAGTGTACTTGTGTCTATGAATTCCAAGAAGGAGCTCCAGTGCGACCTGTCTCACCTCGCTGTTCTCTACGACTGACTCATTACATTGAAGAAGCCAATGTAGGCAGGGGTTACATCAAAGAACTTTGCTTCAGCCCCGATGGGCGAATGATTTCTTCCCCACATGGCTATGGGATTCGTTTGTTGGGATTTGACAAACAGTGCAGTGAACTTGTTGACTGCTTGCCCAAAGAAGCCAGTCCCTTGCGGGTGATCCGTTCTCTATACTCTCATAATGACGTGGTACTGACAACAAAGTTCTCTCCAACACATTGTCAGATTGCCTCAGGGTGCCTTAGTGGACGGGTTTCTTTGTATCAGCCAAAGTTTTAGGCACAACTTACATCAAATAAGGAACTCTTCTGGTGTTTGACTTAGGAATTACTTCAATTTAGATGAAGTATTTTCTTTTTAGAAGATCTGATAAGTTTGGGTCAAGATCCTGGTTCTTATGGGTCCATGAACACACTTGTGACCTTAGTACTTGGTCATCCAGCATCATACAGGCATCTCCAAGTTAGACTCTATGCAGCATCATCTTTTTCAGCATTCCTCTGCTCCTGCTGATCTGTGCCACTGAACTCCAGTTCTTCTGGTCATTTTGCATGGTAGCTCTTGTCAAGTTCCTTTCTTCCTCACTATTTCTCTCTTTTCCTCTCCCTGTCCCTCTCTTTCTTTGTATTGATTTTGGTGTCAATTTTGTGGAATTTGGCAGGAGTTTTGATTGGAGTAGGAGAAACCCATGACATTAGAATTGAATAAAACCTAGAAACTGGATATTGGCATATTGGTTGTTGAAAAAGAAATTTCATCTTCACTTATGAGTATACTTGGTCTTTTAAAGTTGCTGTTATGTTTATCCATATTGAGCACAGATAATGGCATTATTCTTATAATTGTTAAGATAATCTTGCAACAAAATGTCTTTTAAGTTTCCTGTTAAAATTATAAAAAGATTTTCATGGTGAGAGGGATTTTATTGTGAAATTCTAGAAGCAAATATTACCACCTCTCTTTGTAATTTACTTTACTTGTATGAATTTAACATCTCTAGCATGTATCCTTACTTGATATTTTGTTCCTATCAACAGCATTAGAAAGGAAAGGAGACAGAATGGGCTTTAGTTATTTCTATTGCACAGAAAAGGATTTTTAAAATTAGATTAGTACAATATCTGGTCATAGAGTGATAAGAACAATGTGACTTAGATTTTCTGTATTTCACCTGCCAGATTATTTGAATCACACAGGATGATGTGTTAACAGTATTGGGGTGCAAGAGGAATCAAGAGTAGAGGTAGGGGTTTACTCATTTTTCTTCCCTGAGCCAGGTGTCACAAGCCAACTCTGTCACCATTAGTGAGGGGAGAGTTGCAGTCCTCTTCAAGCTGTTATCGTAAGTATGGTAGTCAGTGACTTGGATATCAAGACTAAGTGCTGATATGAAGACTTGCCTTGTGTTTTCTTATGAAACACATAAGTATAAAGCAGGACTCAAGCACAAGGCTGACTGTTCTTCTTTGAATAACAGCTTTCTTGCAGTCTCCTCCACATGGGTGGCACTGTGTTTAGAAGGGATTACCAAAGGCTGGAGCAATTTAAGCTATGCACTAGCCTTGCCCTCTTAGGTTGCATTCTCTCTAGGCCACTGGTTCTCAAACATTAGGGTGTATTGTACCCATTACAGAGCTTGTGAAAAATGCAGAAACCTGAGCCTCACCTTATGAGATTCTGATTCAGCCAGGGGGAAGACAGGAATTTGCGTTTTTCATAGGAACCTCAAGTAATCTTTATTCTGAGGGTCTCTGGATTGCAGGTTGAAAAACATAACCTTAATTAGCAGTAAATTCTTCTCTACCTGGCCAGGCACGGTGGCTCATGCCTGTAATCCCAGCACTTTGGGAAGCCGAGGCGGGTAGATCACGAGGTCAGGAGTTTGAGACCAGCCTGACCAACATGGTGAAACCCCATCTCTACTGAAAATACAAAAATTAGCCGGGCGTGGCGGTATACACCTATAATCCCAGCTACCGAGGAGGCTGAGGCAAGAGAATCGCTTGAACCTGGGAGGTGGAGGTTGCAGTGAGCCGAGATTGCGCCACCGCACTCCAGCCTGGGCAACAGAGCGAGACTCGTCTCAAAAAAAAAAAAAAAAAAATTCTTCTCTACCCATTGGTGCTTAAGACAATTCCCAGAAACTGTTTTCATTATTTAATAAACAATAACAGTAAATGAAAGTAATTTTAGAGGTGGAAAATAACTTAGAATGGAATCATTTGCATTAATTGACAAATGAAAGAAGTGACGTGACTTGCCTAAGGTCATCCCACAAAGTTAGTGGCAGAGTTGGGACTTGAATTCCAGTCTTCTAATTCCTTGCTCAGGGCAATTTCTACCGTGTTATGCTGTCTGTTAGAAACAATGACTTATGGACATTTTGTCTTTAAGTTGTATTATTGTTAATACCCTTAAACTGGCCAATAGATTTTAAAAAGGCAGGCATGGGAGTAGAAGCTGAGACTTCTAGCCATAAGAAGAAAAGTATTTTAAATCTTACATAAATGTTTAAACAACCCAAAATACATGAATAAAAATGACATTTCTTTGTAGGACCTGCCAACTAACTATTCACACACATTTATAGAGGTTAAAAGGATCTTGGCTCTAAAACAAATTTTTGAAATTAGATCATTTTACCATGGATGTTAACAAAACCAGAAATTTTTTATCATTGAGAAAGTTACCACAAAAGCACAGTAAATACATAGACTTGCCATACATTTTGTAAAAAACACATTTTTTAAAGAAAATAGGGATGGGCATGGTGGCTCACGTCTGTAATCCCAGCACTTTGGGAGGCCAAGGTGGGAGGATCGCTTGAGTCCAGGAGTTCCAGACCAGTCCGGGCAACATGGCAAAACCCCGTCTCTACCAAAAATACAAAAATTAGATGGGCATGTTGGTACTCGCCTATAGTCCCAGCTACTCAGGAGGCTGAGGTGGGAGGATGGTTTGAGCCTGGGAGGCGGAGGCTGCAGTGAGCCCAGATCGCACTATTGCACTCCACCCTGGGCCCAGACCCTGTCTCAAAAAATAAAAATAGGCTGGGCATGGTGGCTCATGCCTGTAATCCCAGCACTTTGGGAGGCTGGGGTGGGTGGATTACTTGAGGTCAGGAGTTTGAGAACAGCCTGGCCAACATGGTGAAACCCTGTCTCTACCAAAAATACAAAAATCATAGCCAAGCGTGGTGGCGGGCACCTGTAATCCCAGCTACTCAGGAGGCTGAGGCAGGAGAATCGCATGAACCTGGGAGGCAGAGGTTGCAGTGAGCCGAGATGGCACCACTGCACTCTAGCCTGGTCAACAGAGCAAGATTCTGCCTCAAAAAAAAAAAAATAAAATAAAATAAAATAAAATTAGTTTTGGAGGTGAAAACACCCAAACTATGTTATTATTTAAAAATAACCTACCAAGTACAGTGGTCATATTGATATTCAAAAGAAATTTCATAAATTGTATCAACTCTGGAAAGAGTTCCATATCAGATGCTAGACCAGCAAAGTTGCCCAACTCAAAATTCAGCCAATGATTCTTTAACTACTATAGAGTACCTGTCATGTGTCAAATAATGTACAGACTTCACTACTAACCCTCACAAAAACTTGCAGGGTAGGTGGAATGAGCCCCAGTTTACTTTGGAGGGAATAGTGGGTCAGAAAGATTAAATGACTTGCCTTAAGTCATGGAGTAGACAGTGAGAGGCAGCACTGGGATTCAAACCCAGGTTTGTTTCTTTTTCCAAAGCCTGTGCTTACTGCTTTACCATTGTGCTCTTTAGTTTGTAAAGTACGGTAAGCCTGCCTGTTATTTGTTTAGTATCTTCTGGAAGTTTTTTTTTTTTTTTTTTTAAATTATAGAGCTAGCTTACCATTTGTATCATGTAAAAAAAATTATAAGATTAACAATTTCCATGAGACTATCATAAACTCAGGGCACACATTCTGGCCATTCCTAACTAAAAAACTTCAAGCAGAATAAGCAGCTGTAAAATAGAAAAGAAAAATGAAGGATAAATGGCCTTGTGAAAAAAACAGAGCTACACAGATGAGAATTAAAAATTAACAGCCAGCAAACTCAAAAGAACCTTTGTCCTCCCTGAGGTATGGGGACGATCAAAAAGTTATCAAGGAATATTAATCAAGGAATTAAACGGCATCAGGAATGCTATAGTATTGGAGGAAATTACTTAACATTTCAAAGCCCCATTTCACTTGAGTGTAAAATCTAATCTGATGTTTTTTACTCTGAATTTTATTCAGTTTTATTCATAATTCATAATTGGTAATATAGTATAATTGTTAGTAAATGTAGTACAAATTGTGCTCCTGTTTTAAAAAGTTTTCTGCAGAACAGTGCATTTATGGCAATGCTATGTTTAATGAGTTAGGGACATCAAATATATAGTAGTTCCTTATTTTCAGTTGTGAAAATGAAATGGCTAAAGCAGAGACATCTATTTTAGTCTTTTAAAAATGTGTGTGGGTGGTCTTTTTTCCTCAGAGGCCCAAAGCACATGTATATTTTGTTATTTCTCCTTGCTATATTCCTGAGACTATACTACAAATTTTAAGAAAAGGAACAAGAAAAAGGTAATTCATGTGTTCCCCACTCCTGTGTCTAGAACCAATATCACATTATATCATTGTTTAAATTGTGTTATCTAGAAAGTGCAATATAGGGAAAACACTCTGAGAATCTTTTAAAAGCCTAGTGTTTCCCTTATTTGTCAGAATATTTGTCAGTGGTACTGGCAAATATTTGTCAGTGGTACTGGCATCCATAAGTATCTGTTAAACTTGCATTTAGCAGGACAAATAGTGTGATACTTATACTGATGACAATCATCCCCATTTAATGACCAGCAGTCACTGAGTGCTGTGAAAATTCACTCAGTGATACCCCGTGTTGGTCTTGAAGGAAACGGTACATACTAATTTTTGGATAGCTAATGTATATCTCTTAAGTGCCAAAATTTAAAACTTGTAATTATTTTTGATGTGAGTATTTTAGGTATGTTAGTATACCTTTCTGCCTTCTTCTTAAACATCATGCTCAGTATAATTCATATTTTCATAATGAAAAGTTAAAGTTGTATTCATAATGTATTATTATAAGTATCCAGCTCTGATGTATGTAAAACACTTCGTAAAATGTAAAGGGCTATAACAAATATGTTATAAAGTGATTCTCTCAGCCCTGAGGTATACAGAATCATTTGCCTCAGACTGCTGTTGGATTTAAAAATTTTTAAATATCTGCTAAGTAATTTGCTATGTCTCCTCCCACACTATCAATATGCCTGCCTCTAACAGGCTCCCCAGTTTCTTCTAATATGCTGTTATGAGCTTGGACTTGAGATAACTGTGCCTGTTCAGAGTGTCTACAGTAAGAGCTGGAAAAATTCTGGGGGGCACAGTCTTTGAGACAGCCCTTTTGGTTGCTTTCCACTTTTCTGAAAGGTTCCCAGTAACCTTCTAGATAATAGAAACTCCCAGTTAAAGCCCAGGCTACCAATTTTTTTTAGTTGCAACTAAGTAAGATATACTACAAACTAAGGATGCTGCTAGATTAAGGAATAAACAGCAATGTACCAAAGTACAGCAAAGCAACAACAAAGGCTCTGTATTTGCAGAGGGGTCTATCATGCTTTTAAGAAAAAAAAAGAAGAGTACAGGAAAAAAATTCAGATAGACAAAAGAGTATTTTGGATGCCATTAAACTTTTTCAATAACCATAAAAACATAGGCTTAAATTATCAAATATTGTTACAAAGACACAGTTTTATCTCATTATAGAATAAGATTATACTGAAATTTATATTCTAGAAATGATTCTAAATCATGTCCTAAGAATTTCTCCCAAATGTTAATGTAAATTACTATCAAAAGGAAAATCTCAAAGTTACCATTATGCTGCTCTCTTTAGTTGTAAATGAACTAAGGATAAAGATATGGGTTTTATCAAAAGCCCCAAGGAATATATCTCACATACACCTCC